AAATATTTTTAGAGCTCGTGACTCTCTGGGGGTTCGTTAACAACTTGTTGGAAACCACTGTACTTGGACGAGGAAGGTTTCCAGAATTTTACTCAAAGACGTCGTTTAGAATATAAGTTATTTTACATGACACCAATCTTCAACATAAGGCAATCGCTTTATTTCCTTTCGAAGATATTGTGCTTCTTTTAAAACCTAGTTTGACCATCTATAACAGTCCGCTGCACAAACCGTTACTACTATCGAAGCAACAATATCATGAGTAATTGTCAGTAATACATTTTAGAATACTGTTCTTAGAACTGAATGTAGTCACGTTAAAACAGTCCTTAAAGGACCTGATGTCCTTTAAGAAAGCGGGAAGATGTTTAAAATAAAGAGATTTCCTGTTATTTATTGACATACGATTGCTAAAGGAACGGACAGCTCCGAGCCTGTTAAAACACTGAGTCCTCTCAGGAAGATTTTAGGTTCTTTGTGAGTGGGCGCTTCATTACCGGAGGGATCGTCAGGAGCGAAATCTCTTTGAGAAGCCGTGATCCACATCATCCGTTACAGCTCCCAGCGTCTCATTTCTGCAGCAGAAGAGAGAAAAAGGTGATTTTCAAGTACAGAATTACTATCTCTCAGAAGATTTTTTGTTTGTCGAGAAAGCATCATACCCAACCTGTAGAAAGGAAATCAATAGCACGTATCAGAAAGGTTACCGAGCTCTTTACTCCGGATACAAACTAAATTATTCTCAACTCTGTCTACGTCTCTGATATATTATGAGGATGTGGTAGAGAAAATGCAGTATAAGGAAAATCGAAAATATCCATAAATTATTGGTACCATCGAAATTCGTATCCATATTTCGAAATGAAGTGAGCCAATGAGATCAGCCGATGATAGTAAGTGCAGCTTTGTTGCAACGACCGTGAAATAATGGTTATTTAGCGTTTGATATTCAACAAGATTTTCTGTCAACGACTTATTCGTGAATACACAAATAAGGAAGGAAATTTTAATACAAAGACACTAGTAAAGATAATTGAAGGCAGTTTAATATTGAGAGGCTAGTAAAAGAAAACAGAAGTAAGTATAATAGAGAGGCACTAGTAGAAGAGAGCGTATTATCGAGCATCTCACCTTGCCGTATCATTTCCTTGTGAGGACAACGAGTAGCCATAGGCCAGCAGAATCCGTTCATGCCTGGAACGGCCAGCACGCCGTTTGCATTATCAATCGGAGCAGATAAAAATCAAGAGGTATTCAATGTATACGGAATACGAGAGCAAATTATCAGCAAACACACGTTTAAAATTACAATATACTTCTTGACTTTGAACGGTAACTTCTGCTATAAGGAATATTTTTTTAGTTTTAAAAATTAAAGTAAATAAAATCTATTGCCTTTATCTCGTGTATTTGAAGAAACACTGTTAAACTGAGCAATGTATCTTAATCTTTATAAATTTACAACATTTTGAAAGTATTTCAATTCCTGTCGGAAAGACTAGCTAAAAGCATTTTCACAACTACTGAAATGGCCGAATGAAGCTGTGAACAAATTAAAAGAGACGAAGCAAATAATAAATATATATTTCTATAGATGTACAACAGGGATGTTAAATTTCTCCCGCCAAACGCCAACGCTACTCGCCCATCTGGGAATCCCGGCGCTTCTATGAGCAGGAACAACTTGCCCTAACTCCGCTCTCACTTTCCCTCTAAATCCTCAACGGTGTGTACATTCGCAAGCTGAAGCATAGGAAAATATGTTTCTTATATTTGGTCTATCAAACAACCAAGATTTGAAATAAGCTACTATTCTTTTCTACTTATTACTATTTCGTGATCATTCTCTTTTATATTATGCTTTGGCCGATGTGGATGGCCGAGGTGGCTTGGTGTCCCGCTTTGAGTATGGTTGTTTGTCTATTGTCTCTCATGAATGCGTTGTTACAGAGGGCCTCGCGATCCGATGATCCCAGATCAGAAGAGCCAGCAAGTGTGTTAGTGTCTAGTATATACTCCAATATGTGTCCTAACGAGACGTAAAGGCGTAAAAATTCTGCTTTGAATAAATATTATTACAGAGTGGCAGTAATATGTTGAATGAGAAATTATTTCCTTGTTTTAGTTTTGTGTTGTTTCATTAAATCATTCACATTTATCTTGTACATACCAATAATGGGAACTAAATTGACAAGTTTCTATAAATTAACAATTCCGTCTTCCAGGCCGACAAGAATCTGTCTGTTTAACCACCTAACCTGATCGTAGAATGTTAATGCATATATTTCAGACAGACAGTAAACAGATTACGGAATCAAGATACTTTCAATTCAAAATGTTTAATTTTACTCTCTTTTGACAATTTTAAAATCAATGCATTGTTGACGCGCCGAGGATTAATCCATGTGTGGCTTCTTGAGACTAAGCAAAGGTCAACTGTTGCCACGATCCCTATGCGTGAGATGAAACCGTGCTAGAGAACAAAGAACTGACACCGGTACCGAGTGGCTAAAGCTCGTTTATCGCCGGCGGGGAAGTAAGATGCGACATCGAGGCCGAGGTTTTCGAAACACGTTACGTTACACCGCAGCGCACGTTACTGTTGTATATATACCGGGAAAGGTGGCTCAGTGCTTCAACTGATATCACTGCAGTGCCTCTGACCAGGAGGTTCCGATGTTCGAGGAGTTCGACGGGGGCAAGATTGTCAACACAAGTTGGGTAGCTAGATCGAGATCAGTCGCTGTCTCGAGGAGAATTCTAGCGGCTGGATGCACTGATCGATAACGTTTTTCCGTATTTTTTATCAATACCAGGCGAATGTCGGAGCCTCTTTCTTGTTCTATCTTCACCCCTTACTTACACACATGTACATGCAGTGCACTACCACACATGCTGGAAGACGATCGAGAGCTTGTTCCGGCAGGGGTGGGTCCCACTGGTGAGAGATACCTGGTAAGGGAAAGCCCGTTAGCCGACATTAGATCGGCGCCAATCTCACCATACAGTGGGAGAAATCACAGCCACCTCTTGAGGAATACATGCACTACACTTCCGAGACCCTCGATCTTAGCAGTTGACGCTCCCAGAATCACTAATTAATAAATCAATCAACTATTGTGCATAACTCGGAAACGGTGCGTCCTGATTCCTATTATACGGTTTTGTGCCGCTATCTACGAAAGGCATTTTTGGACGTTCTTTTACATATTTTGAGCTTCACCCAAATATGATAAATATGATAAAAAAATATGATAAAAAATGCGATATTTCGATTGTATTGTTTTGTTGTTGAAAAAATTAGAGCTTTTCACCCCGCCTTTCTTGGACGTTTGTCTTATCTGAGTCCTCATTTTGTAGCACAGTCCTTCAGAATGTGCTGAATCTCTCAATCTAGGTAAAATTAAATTGAGTATTTGGTATTTCGCATGGTTTAATCGCAACGCATCCAGGTATTTCTGTTTATTCAGGGTCTGTTTGTTCCAGTGTAAAGCTATTTTCTTTTTTATTGTCCGATTTAAATATTGATTGATTGAATTTGCCTTATTTTACGTGGCGAGACTCGGGCCATCAGGCCCGCTCTTCCGTCTGACCACGCAAATTTCGCTACGCTCCTTTCACCAACAAGGAGAGAAAGGAGGTATTACTTGGGCGAGAAACAGGCGATTTGAATTTAGCTCAGAGGCGTCATTTAGGCTTGAGGATCTTTTACATGCAAGTAAATCTACGAACATGGGACAGCCGGCTTTACTTCCACTCCGAAGGAAAGCGTACGAAGGATTTTTTCGCCCTTAAAAATCCACGGCTTCGATCGGGTTTGAACCCGCCAACTTGGGTACAACAGTCCAGTACGCTAACCGTTACACCACCGCCGCCGCCGATATAGTGGCTTCTGACAGATCATCATCATCATCATCATCATCATCATCAGATCATTATCTGTGACGTGGTTTTTCAATCGAGATCTCGGATACCTAAAAATGAAGTATTAACAAAGCTTCCGATTGGATAAGAGCGTCCAGCTGATTATCTGTTACAAGTCAGTATATTTAAATCCGACAATACAATAATATGTGAGTGAAGTATACTAACGTTCGCACGGGTCCAAGTAGTTACACATTAATCGCACCGGTAGTTACAAATAGTTGCTCCTAATGGCTTGCGCCGGTAGCTAAACTTCTTAACCAAGCTCCTGAAGTCACAGGCGTTAAGCAGCTTGAGGCGACTCGGGTCCTTGGATGGGTGACCGCCTGGAAATTCCGGATACTAGGTGCAATTCGGTCTACCTATGGGGAACTGACAATCCCCACCGTATCTGTCCAGAGATAATTCACAAAGAAATGTGTTTTGGGATGTTGAAAGTACCTGAAACGCCTATATCGCTCATGAAGATATTGCGCGTGTTCAAGGCTGAAAAGTGTTCTTACAATTTATTTAGAAGATTGAGGTAGGATTTTATCAATAGTATCCCAATGACGTGTAATGAGTACATTCGTGGAAATTGGAGGCAGGTCAATATGATTTCAAAAGAGGGGGATTTGGTTGAGAGAATCTAAAAAATCTATGGTCAAGGTGGGAATGACATTGTTTATCTCATTGGGTGGTAGTTTTTCTATGGGCGGAGGAAGTCGGTTTAACAGAAATTCAAAAAATTAATCAAAGTTCATTCATTTCAAAGAGGAGTTTGGTTTTATCTTCGTTGATAACGTTCAAACTCTAGAGGTAAATGGCGATGTTCTGAGGTAATGTCTTTCGAGTGAGATGGAGGTACCTAGATTTTGTGAGATTCCAAAATGAATTCAATCTAGTGATTGATTAGGTTGGAATCGTAATTGCGCAATATGTGGAGAGTGGACCTGAAGTTCACATATATACATGATACAAGAAATACATGAATAAATCATTACGCGAAATAAAGTAGACGGCAGTTAAACAAGACAGATTCTTGCACCGCGAGCACTGATGACTGTGTCACATCTAACATTTCTTCTGATCAACAGGATCTTACTGGGATGAACGAGATTCCAGACCTGGACTACGTCTTGAAGCAGGATCCGAAGGAATGCGCGCGCATGGTGGTCTGCGAACTGGCGACCAAGTCCCGAGGCAAACTTCTGGAAGACGAGCGCGCCATTCTGGACTTCCTGAGGTAAGGAAGGAGTGTAGGTTCTGAATGTAGAGTACTTGGTCAGTCAAGCAGGGTTGTTAGCTAGTCTAATGTTTGGAATTCTTTGAAATAGTTAATATTAAATAAATACGTCAAAAGAAAATTCATAAGTGTTTGGGGAGCAGTATTCCTACAATTACCTCCAAGAAAAATGTTAGCTCTCAGAATGGCTGGGGATCACTGGAAAACCGCGATCAAAATGGGGTACTGCACGCAGAAGAAAAAACATTATTAATATTTATTTCATGTTTACATTTCTTTTAGATTGCACACGTTTATGTGAAATAATAACAATCGTTTTAGAACAGAATTGTTAAAATTAAGCAGTAAATGAAGAATCAATATGAAACTATCATTTAAAGTTAGTATTTCAAAACATACTACACATTTTTTACTACACACTACTAATTTGGAAACAATATAACTTGTCTTTTAGCAGATGTATGTAAATATATTCCAAAACACACGGCTATTTTTTTTTTGTTTTCCAATTTTTAATTTTTAGTGAAATCTAGAATTGTCAACTTTCTATGACTTTTCACATTGTTTCATTTTAATAATCAAATCATTATTAATTTATACTCTACGGCTTGATCTGTTGGCTTTTGTCGTAGACCAAATAAAAGACGTGGCAGTGGTGGTTTGTAATGCAATGCAAAGTAATGTAATGTAAAGACGCAAGTCTTCCCTTACGCAATGAGAATGGAGAAACTGTGCTTCACTCCGACTTCAACCACCAATCTTTGGCTCCATACCGCCTCAATCGACTGTGCCTCCTGGGCCAACCGCTGATTCAGTCATGTGATTGTTCGGCTTGTGTGATCAATATATTGTGGAGAGTGTGTTCTCTTGTTATGTTGAATGGTTTTCATCAGTTGCTGTTTCAATAATTCATTGACCTCTGCTTAGTGTGTTGTTGAATTACACGTGTGCAACTTTATCCTATTAGCTTTTGAATGTACAGAGTTCTGAGAATCTCGGAGGGATGCATTACATAGCGATTGACGCACTAATGCTCTTATGTAACCCGTAACAGAATAAGGTGTACGTAAGTAACTAGTATATGATTTGATGCACGTGTGGTAATTAAAAGATGATATAACTGTCAAATTGAAGATGTGCAGAGATCTTTCTAAATCGTGATGACATCCAACCGCTGTTGTTAGCCTTCATCAAGTTCGCTGTGCTGCAAGTTTGAAATCTTTATCTAATAAATACATCTGTTGGATTACCCTATTCCCGTCTAAGCATCTCATCAAAGTATCATCTTCCTATCGCACCTTTCTCTGTAAATTAATTTCCGCTCTTACAGATCAATAGTCGTAACTGTGGCTCGCTAAATTTTAATTTAAATTAATAGTTTTCTCAAAGTTCTGTCAGCGAATGAGGATGCAAATGAACGTAATTTCAATAACACTTCCAAGTATTTTGCCGAATGTAGACAAGATTTTTGATTAATGAACTACTTCAAAAAATGATTTAACGTTTTCTCTTGTTTATTGCTTATTCCTCAAAAGTAGGCAGGTTAGTTGCCTGTGTACTGATGTCAATGACAATTCTTGTTTCTAACCTCTTCATCACTGTTTCAATACCTGTTACGAGGTCTCTTAATTTAATTACTGAATATGTATCTCCATACTTCTCAACGTTCTCTTGCGAATGAACGTCATTTCGAAACCGTGGAATGCCAAGAGCTCCCTTCTCCTAATGTTTCATGGTACACTGAAAAATTTCCTTTGATTCTTTTCACTGATTGGACACTTTCGCTCTGTCAATGCTGTGTTATTTGCTACATACATTGCATAGCTCAGGCGTGAACTTGCTCTTTCACTTCTGGCACACTTACTAGAGCATTTCTCCTTCCTTTTATTTCCTGGTAAAAATCAATTCGTCTCTACATGGAGGAATCAATGCCCTCGGGTGGGCTGTGTTAAAACTTTCGCTATTAACAATATTCTCATTCCCGTCTACGTATTATTGTACTACGAAATTCACAGCCGAAACAGTTTTAGAGGGAGTTTTTGGGCTAGTTATGCTTTTTGAATCATAAGAGGTCACACTTTTTCCCCCGATTTATTTCAAATAGTTGTAAAGCTTCGTGTGCAAAGTAGGCACTTATGATAATTTCCTTTTTCTTAAACAGCTTAAATATTTGTCGTATTTGGTATTTTGGGTCGATTGTCTGACTTTGCCGGCTAAGAGTTCTCCACGTCGTAGCCTTGTTTAATTTCCACGTTTCGGGGGTAAGTGGGCATCAGGCAAACGTTACGTATACACTTCACCGTAACTAGCAAATTCCTCCTGACTGAGCTTTTCTTCGTCACACAGCTACAGAAACTGAGAGTATTTTAAAGGAAAGCTACAACTCCATTTGTGCCTCGGCCGAGAATCAAACCTGGGATAACACAACGGGAAGCTTATTCGCTCTCAAATATTTTAAAAGCTTAAATGTTTTAAACGTCATTTATTTACAAACATGAATTACGCGTAAAATGTATAATGATGTAATAAATATAATTAATAATGAATACCGTACGTAGAATGAAGTCCGTAATTAATTTTTGCTAGGTGTAATAAATAACCAGATTGGTTCTCAAAATAAATATTCTGTCCATGGTGCACACTGAATATTCTGCAGGAATGTCTTAAAACTTTTTAATGATAAACACAACCGTTGTGACATGTAATAAACAGACATACTATAGGTGTAATAGTTTTTATTTATTTATTCCGAACCTGATTGTCCCAAATAAGTGGAAACTTACATAATGAAAATTCCAATATTGGACAATCACAGCAATAAAGAACGATATATTTTTATTAAAAGAAAATAATTCTGTTCATATTACGGATATAATTTTGTAAAGTAAAATGGCATTTGGAGAGAGATAAGATTCGCTTTGTTATGTTACAATGTGTCGTTATTTCGGCAGAGTTGAATTTTTTATTCTTACTCTCTCATAATTTTCAAAGTGGAAAAATATTTGGATACACAGTTTTAGGACGATTAAGCAATACTAAACCGTGCCCTTGGGCTCATGAAAATTGTTTAGGGCACTTTTTCAATTCTTTTCTTCCCTTCATAGAAACAAAGGCTGTACAGGTATTCGTTTTGATGTGTATTTAAAGAGCTTGCCTCCTATAACAGTTAAAATGTCCACTCAATAATAGCGTTTACTAAAAAGGCTCTGTCAAAATATAGGTTGCACGGCGCGGCGTTGATGCTCAAATTGACGGTAGTCATCTACAGTCTACCAACACCGTACCTTTATATTGAGCATTTTCTGATTAAAATTCACAATTGTAGAACACGGCAACTTTCAATACACACAAAAATGAACTCCTACAGTTGTTGATTCTATGAAACGTTTTTCAAAAATAGTCTAAAAACCTCAAAACTCGATGGTATGCTTCATGTCGTTCATTAATACCTAGAACTTTTACATATATTTGTTTTCGCACTTTAAATAATGTGAGAGGGAGAACATACTAATTCCAACTTCGTCAAAATATCGATGGCATTATTACATATAGTTTAGTATGGTATATGACGTTTGGAATGTTTTTTAAACGGTCACTTTCATTAGTAAATAGGGTAAATTAAAGCAAATATAAATTGATCATCAACGTGAACAGTATTATCTTATTTAATATTCGAAATAAAAATATGAAAGTACATTAATACACTTCCATATGCAAATTGGAATTTCACTCATTTCCTCGTTAATACTCCATCTGCTCTTCGCAAAAGTGGAAGTCATCTTCTGGAAGCCTTCTCTGGGGGATCCCCGAGTCGGCATTCACTCGACCACGTGTTCCCAAGCGGGGGTTCCCAACCGGCCTTCCGATCACTCCTCGCTTTCTCCCGCGGGCGTGCGATGTTTCTACAGAAAGGCAAGTGGATGCTGACAGGAGCAACGCGACTGCATAGCGGCGGGATCAGCAGCCTCGCGCGCGACAAGCAAACCGGAAACGCAGCGGAAATGTTGCGGCGGCCCACTTCTCGAGAGAATGTAACTTTCATGTCCGTTTTGGAAGTAAATTCTCGGAAGTTGTGTCCGTGGTTGGTTTTTATTTCCTCGAGTGCTGTACATAGAAAGTGTTTGTTTTGGAGGAACTAGTAAAACTTGTGTCGTCCTTGATATTCATATACTTTTTTTCCCGCTATCTCGGAATTATTAAAGAATAGAAGGCGTTTTTGTTTCATTTAGGGAAAAACGGTATTATTGTAAAAGCTGCAGTAAAACTTTCCTAAAGATGGTGATCCTCGAAAGAAAAAAAAACATTCCTAATTTTTTTATATCCATACTTGAGATTCTTTTATTATGCTATTTCTGAACGTTAATCTCTTACCGACTTAATTTCGTTCCTCGAGACATTCCTTTATGACTATTTACAATATTGTACGCCTGAAAATTTTGATTTTTAATCATAACACGTAAGTAAAAATATTTTTGAAAAAAAACCCTGTAATTAGTACAATTACTCATGCTTATTTTCCCAATATAATGAATTTTTCATGGTCTTAAGTCTATGTGGAACGAGTGATACACCACATACATGATTATATGAGAGATAAATATCACGTAAATTACAGTAACTTTAAATAAATATTTTGAAGTTATGTATGGGAATAACATTTCAAATTCTCTTCATGATCCCAGTTTTTTCAACATAAGTGAATGGGGATATTACCCCGCTATTTGTATACAGACCTCTCGTTGATACGAACTTGCCGAACCTGTTTCTAAACGGCATTGTCATCATGTTATTTCATTTAACGACCTGGTTGGGGAGTACCCGCTTTCTTTGTGCATTGAATGCAATCTACTACGACGTCTTTGATTCACTTAATCTATGAAAGATCCTTTCCATCTTAAATAGAACAGCCACTTTCTGCTGTACAAGAGGTTGTAGGGTCCCTTAATTGGAGCTTGTCGCCGGAAGTCGCTTTGCGGAACGTTCACTTAACTTTCATCACC